ATTATAATAATAATTAACCTTAATAGTTATGAAACCCTGATATGAAAGGCAATCTCTATCTAAAGGTAAAACAAGTGGGAAAATGTTTGATTCCATTTTATTAATTAATCTTAATTTATGATTGATTATTTTTCAATTCAAGATTTAACGTACATGACATGTAACATAAACAATTAATCGACATAAATTCACGATGCTTAAGCAGCTGTTTAATTACCCTTTTTAGTAAACAGCCCATTCTTTGACTTTGCTTGCATATTCATCTTCTAACCTTTTCTAATAAACTTCACACTATTATCACCAATTAATTCAATTAACTCCCTCCAAAAAGTCAAAAGGTTTTTCAAATAAATAAACCATGCTCTCCTATCAATCATCAATCTCTTTTCTTTAACAATAAAAAAAAAATTAATCCACAAGGAATTATTTTATATTGAAAAATAAAAAAAATATGTAAGATTTTATTTTTTATAAATAATTATTATATAAATGCAAATGTATTGACAATTAAACAATACTATATATTTATTAATTAGTTCATAATGAATGTTGACAAGACAAAAGAATTACAAGAAATCATTAAACTCTTAATAGAAAAACCCATAATAGATCATTCAAAAGTAAAAGACATTTATGAGGTAAAGGTAAACATTTTTAATATTATATATTTCCACTTGAATTTGAAGTTATTTACAATATATAAATAAATAAACATCAATGCTTAGATTGCAAAAAAATTAAGAACAGGACTTCAGTTTGCTTATTTTAAAGTAAAATGGGGTTTACAAAATTGTGATATATCAATGTGTGAAAGAATGATAGAACAAAAATTAGAAGATTATAAAAACTATCCAAATAAAGAAAGAATACATCTTCCATTTCATGTGTCTCCCATACCTCCATCAAAAAATGGATTCACCAATGAAAAAGCTAAAGCTGTCTTTGAAATACTTGATTCATTAGTAAAACGACCAAAATCATCATCATCTGATTCAACTGATAATATCAACCACTACAATAATAAAAGAATTAATACTAGAAAATGTCACTTAAATAATAATGATAGAATCTCTTCTACAACAGGTAATCAACCAATCAATTTAATAACTTTATTTATTTTTCAACATTAACAATATTTAATATCAATATTTTTTTGCTTATTATTATTTTATCATCATTGCATCAAGAATCAGCTTCATTATCATCTTTTGGTGCATCTTCTCTTGAACAAACTTTGCCTCCATTTTTCCCAATAGAGGTGAATCCTAATTCCATAGAACTCTATTTAAATTCATTAGAAAGAAATTATGGTGCTTATGGGTCAGATAGATTTAACA